GGCACCATACACCAGTTCAAAAGGTGAATAGCCCGTTGCCTCTTTTTCAGTTGTCCGAAGGGACCAAAGGGTTCCAGGGAGCTCCTCCAGCCACTTGGACTTTTGATCTTCCACCCTCTTTTTGAGGGCATTTAGGATCTGTTTATTTGCAGCTTCGGCTTGTCCGTTACTTTGCGGGTGGCATACTGCTGAATATGCCAGTTTGATGCCGAACTGGTCTGTATACCGCTTCAGTGGTAAGTTATCAAATTGCCTCCCATGATCGAAGACAAATACTCTCGGGATGCCAAAACGAGTGATGATATTCTACCAGATAAATTTTCTGACAGTTTGCTCTGTAATGTTCGAGGCTGCTTCGGCCTCGATCCATTTACTGAAGTAGTCAACACCAACTATCAACCATTTTTTCTGGTACACATCCTCTGGAAATGGTCCTAGTATATCCAGTCCCCATTGGGCAAACGGGAGTGGATTAAGGATCGGCTGAAGATCCCTTGCTGGCTGGTGGATAACTGGAGCGTATTTTTGACATTTTTCGCATTTCCGGACCAGCTCCTTAGCATCTGCGATCATGGTGGGCCAGTAATATCCAGCCCTCAATGCCTTGTGGGCTAAGGTCCTTCCCCCAATGTGGTTCCCACAGATGCCGAGGTGAATCTCCCGTAGGATATAATCTGCATCTGTTGGTCCCACGCATTTCAGCAATGGGGCTGAGAAGGACTTTTTCAGAAGTTCCCCCCTGAAGACAATGAACCTTGAGCTGGTTCTCTTCATCTTGGAGGCCAAAGCTTTATCTTCGGGAGTTTCTCCCCGAAGTTTGAAAGCTAGGATGGGGTCCATCCACCTAGGCTCTGGGTCAGCGCAGCACACTTCAGGTGCTTCGTCGACACTTCTCTCTCGACGCACTTCTACATATACAGATCTGTTCAGCTCGGTAAGAGTTGAACTGGCAAGTTTGGAGAGTGCATCGGCTTGAGTATTCTGACCCCTTGGGATCAGCTGAACCTCAAAAGTTTTCAGCTTTGCAATGACTGATTTGGTCTTGGCAAGATAAGCTATCATGGAGGGCTCTTTGGCCTCGTAGCTGCCGCTAATCTGATATGCAACTAGCTGAGAGTCTGTTTTCAGGCAGACATGATCGGCTTCCAGGGAGATGCACAATTCTAGGCCGGCGATTGCTGCCTCATATTCGGCTTCGTTGTTCGAGGCCTTAAAAGAAAATTTTAGTGCATACTCGAAGGATTTGCCTTCGGGAGAAGTTATCACTACTCCTGCCCCCGAACCGTTTTCGGTGGAAGATCCATCTGTAAACACGGTCCAGACTTTCTTTTCATTGTCTAGCGCTTCTTGGTATGCGCATTCGGCCAAGAAATCCGCTAGAGCTTGAGCCTTAATGGCAGCCCTCGGACGGTAGCTGATGCTGAATTCGGTGAGCTCAAAAGCCCACTTGGCTAGCCTACCAGATTTTTCAACCTTGCCGAGAACTTTTTCCAACGGCTGATCAGTTAAGACCACTATCTGTTGGCAATCAAAATAGGGCCTCAGCTTCCGAGCGGCTACTACTACTGCGAAAGCGACTTTCTCGAGTAGAGGGTAGCGAGTCTCGGCATCCGTCAGTGTATGACTGACAAAGTAGATCGGTTGCTGACTTTTGCTTTCTTCCTTCAGCAGTACTGCACTGATGGTGGCTGGGCTAACGGCCACATACAGGTACAAAGTTTCTCCTTCTACTGGGCTAGCCAGCGTTGGGAGTTGAGCCAGATGCTCCCGAACTGTTTAAAGGCGTCTTTTTGCTCTTCCTCCCAAACGAGCTCTTTTGTTTTCGGGAGTTTCAGGGCTTTGAAGAAAGGTAACCCCTTATCCGAAGCTCTGGAAATGAACCTCGAGAGGGCTGCCATTCTTCCGGTGAGCCGCTGAACATCCCGCTTTGTTTTCGGCTCAGGAAGGTCGAGCGCTGCTTTAACTTTGGAGGGATTGGCATCAATCCCCCTCTTGCTGACTATGAACCCAAGGAATTTCCCTGACTTCACACCAAAGACACACTTCTTCGGATTCAGCTTCATTTGATGCTTTCTTAAGGTGGCGAAAGTTTCAGCCAGGTCCTTAACATGGTCCTCAGATTTTTTGCTTTTGACGATCGAATCGTCGACATAGAATTCCATGTTTCGGCCCTTTTGATCGGCGAAAAACTTGATCCACCAGCCTTTGATAGGTTGCCCCCGCATTTTTCAATCCGAAGGGCATCATTTTGTAATTGTACACCCCAGCGTTCGTGACGAATGTCGTCTTTGCTCGATCGTCGGGGTGCATGAAGATCTGATGATACCCCGAGAATGCGTCCATGAAACTAAGCAAGGCATGGCCACTTGTCGAATCGACTAGCTGATCGATCCTCGGCAAGGGATAGAAATCCTTCGGACAAGCCTTATTTAGGTCCGTGAAGTCAACGCACATCCTCCAGGTACCATTGGCCTTCTGAACCATCACCACATTTTCCAGCCATTCTGGATATTGGCAAGGCTCGATGAAGCCTGCCTCCAGCAATTTTTTGACCTCGGCTGCGATGTCTCGGTTCTTATTAGCGGAGTAATTCCGCTTCTTTTGCTTAATTGGTCGACACGTTGGGTCAACATTAAGCTTATGGGAGATGAGGTCTGGACTTATCTCGGGCATATCAGCTGCCGAGAAAGCAAACACATCTCTGTTGTCCCGAAGGAGCTGAATTAGTTCACAACGGGTGTTCGGATCAAGGTCCATCCCGATTGTTACACATTTCTCAACGTCTCCTTCGGCCAACTCAACTGTTTCAGTCTGTTGGTCCATGTCCATTGCTGATGGACTGGACTCTTCAGAATCTGGCCTGCTGCCTATGTCAGCAGGTGTCCCAGTCTTTTTGTTCTTCGGCTGGCTCTCTGAGTCTTGCTGTTCAGCTGAAGAGCTAGCCTTTTCCCTTTCGGGCCCTTTACCTCTGGGTACAGATCCTTGGGCCGAAGCACTTAGGTCTTTCGGCTTTTTTGTGCTTGGCTCTCTTTCTTTTTCTTTCTCCTCCTCATCCTTGTCGTCATCTGGGCGACTACTGGATGGCTTGAGGTAGTTGCACCTTCGGGCGTCCTTTTGGTTGCCCTGTATCCTTTCGGGGAAGCCAACGTCTGAGACGTAAATCATCAGCTGATGATAAGTTGAGACGACCCCTTGGATCTCATGAATTATGGGTCTCCCCAAAATCACGTTGTACACTGAAGGAGCGTCAATGACCAAAAATTCAATCATGACGTTCTGCAGTAGTCTTCTCTCGGCGGTTTGCCGTGGAAAACTTGCTCCTAAACTTGGAGGACAGATCATCCCACCCTGTTATGGAGCCTTGCTTTACTCCCTTGGAGATCCACGCTTGCGCGACCCCCTTGAGAGTGGTTGGGAAATATTTGCACCAAGTCGCTTCGGATCTGGGGCAAAGATGCATATGAGTCTCATACGAGGCCACGTGGTCCTTCGGATCCGAGGTCCCGTCATATGTGATGTGCGACGGTATTTTAACCGTGGGCACTTGCTCTTCCAGTATCCATTGCTCGAATGGCGAACTGGCGGGTAGCATAACGGTCTTGCCCTTGTTCCTGGCCGAAGGGACCGCGCTCCGCTCTCTTAGAGAGGTAGGAGTGGTTTTCGTCCCTGGCTGGGAAGTCTGGGCCTCGGCCGCAGGGAACGAGAGGCGACTGTGCACGCTCGGTTCCTTGCCGCCGAGTCGGTCGAGGACGCTTCGGCGAACAGTCTCAGGTTGTTCTCGGTGAGTAGATTCTGGCCGAGAAGCTGAGCTGCTGCTCTTATGCGTTTCTGGTCGGGAGGATGAGGATCCTTTGAAAAATTGAGGGTTCTTTTTCCTCTCTTTTTCAGTTTTCCAGGTATCCTCTTCCCACTCTTCCAGTTCCCGGAAGGAAGGAAGCTTCCCACCATCATGGTCTAGCTTCCTCCGTTGATGCCGGGTATGCAGAGGAGTTCGATCACGAGGTGGTGGCATATTTTGTGCCCTCATTGCCTCCATGAGCACTGTCAGTGCTCTTGCCACCTCCTCTGAGCTGGGCCCCGTCAAAGGGGTCCTCGGCCGAGTATGGGAATGAGGGCGCACAGTCGATGGTTGGCTTTGGGGCACTGAATGTGTCCTATGATCGGACTCACCCCTGCTAGACCGAGAGTGACTCGGCCTATGATGAGAGTTATGAATTACGGGAGAAAGGGAATCCTCCTTGTATGATCCTCCCCCCGAGCTGGCACCCTTGGGAGAGTTCCGGTCCGGCGAGGGTGATGGTGTAGGGGTTTTAGGCTTTTCGCCTGCTCCTTGACGGAGGCCTTTGCTCTTGCGGTTCTTAGCCATTGCTACTAAGATAATTGCAAGATGATCTTGGTTAGAAATTTGGCTTAAAGATTTTTGAAAGTCTTCCCCACAGACGGCGCTAAATTGTTTCGGGTGAAAACAATGGGTCCTTGTCGAAGGTCCGATGAAGTGGAGAAGACTGGATTCGGTCCAAGTGATGTCGGGCCGAAGGTTTCCTGCACAGTAAACACACGTAAACTAGCCTCGGGGGTGTTGCCGAGGAAGGCCCCTCCGATGCTAAAGTCAGTACAGTGTGTAGAAAGAGAACACTATGCAAGAGAATTAATTGCTTGAGGCTTTTCTTGAATGAATGTACAAATGTAATATTGATGGTTTTTATACCTTTGCATATATGGAGAAGTTGGGCCTTAGCCCAATTGGCTTGCCTTGAGGACTGATCTTTGACTTTAGCACAATTGGAGAGATGAACCTTGACCTTGGGCTTTTAATTGGATCATTTAATGTCTAGGCCCAATTGGACTAAATTGGACCCAAACAACATTTATTTTTTTTGTGTGTTTTAAAACGACTTATATTTTAAAACGGAATGATTAGATATTTTCCGAGTTTTGTAACCTTACACCTTTATACTAAATTTTTGTTTGTGTCTATATGTTCCCTGATGCAAACAAAGCTTGGAGAATTGGTACTACAGAATACTGGTTCTGATGGTAGGTGGCTTAGAAAATGCTGCGATTGCCGTTGATGCCTTATCAGTTTGGTAAGTAAATGTCATTGTACATTGTTAATAGTTCTTTTTTTCTGTTACAATTATATTGATAAAATCTATTTTTGTGGACCTACTATTTATAAGTACATTACATGGTTAATCGATAAATTTAATACTAGTACTGATCTTGTCAATTTATTGAACGGACAGCATGACTATTAATGGTTGGGAGATGATGATTCCTCTTGCATTCTTCGCTGCAACCGGGTAATATTTCTTTTGTCTTTTCTTCGACCAGTTCTTTTCAACAATAATACATTATATATACTCCGGATACATTGTGGAACTTTATCTAACTTAGGGTATTAGTCGTGTTATACTCTTTCCGTCCCTAAATTGCAAACTTATTTCTAGTATTTATTCCTCATATAATAGAGAAAAGTAAGAATGTAATTTAGGGACAACAAAAACACTTGCGTGGAACTGGTTCACAATAATATTATTGTGGACCCGAGGTTTATACACACGCAACTGACATTATATTGAATATAGTGACCATTATTTTTAACATAGTAACCTTATTTTTAACATAGTAACCTTTATTAAAACTACTACAACGTTTAATAATATTGTGAACTTGAAATACGACGCTATTACCCTATTTTAGCATAGTGGCCTTTATTATTCATATTGATCAGTATATAAAATATTTCATTACAAAAATAACCACTTAGGCCTATATATTACCAAAATGATTTTTATTTCAACATAGTGACCTTTTTTAAAATTATAGTGACCCTTTTTTTTGTTAATAAAACAACCATACTTTCTCTAATGTTAGTGGTCCACAATAAATTAGTGTGAATCAGGTCCATTTAAGAATTTGTATAGGGACAGAGGGAGTACTAAACTATAATAATTATTTTCATCTATCTGTTATTTAAATATATATGAATATTTTACCAAATCTTGATCTATTGAAAAGATTGCATTTCAAAAACATGAAATATATTTATTCCTATACTATAATAATTATTCCTCATATAATAGAAAAGATTGCAAACTTATTTCTACGGAGTAGTATTTATTCCTCATATAATAGAGAAAAGTAAGAATGTAATTTAGGGAGTACTAAACTATAATAATTATTTTCATCTATCTGTTATTTAAATATATATGAATATTTTACCAAATCTTGATCTATTGAAAAGATTGCATTTCACAAACATGAAATAATGTCATTACATTTCCTTAGGACCTAACTAGCTAAGTCACTAAATCTGAAATTTTTTCTCTGAAGGCGGATGCACCATGGTGCATTCGCTTGCAGGAACCACAAATTGCACTAAATGGAGATGGATTGGCCTTTAAATTTTGACATAATTTTAACTCAAAAATAAATTCATCCGTTATTTTATGAATTCTAGTGGGATACAATAGTATGCACCAATACGGTCCAACACATACGAAGTACTTCATATAACACATACAAATACTCTGCACTACAAATTTTTTTTATCCTTTAGTTTTTAGCTTGCACAAATGCAATTCCATTATTTAGTGATGATCTGATAATATCAACATAAGATGATATGCACCCTACCAACTACTATTGGAATAGATTTTGTACCATTGTATGTCCTCAAATTATATTGATCGAGTACACATTATTAAATATTAATTCAGTAATCAACAAATATGAATCATGCCCAATAAAATTTCAAAAGGATTTGGTTTCTATAATACTAGTAAAGTTGGGGCCTTGAGGGGTAACTGGTGTAGGACCGTCGGACAGCCTTATTAATTACGACTTCTTTAACCCGGCCCTTTAGTTCTTTACTAACGTGCTACATGTCCTATTGAGGAAATTTCTATCACTCACTGAGTGATTGAATATACAGTCCGTCACTAATTACTAACAAGTTAATTTCACACATTGTACACTTTCGAAACGGATGCTGATCATATTGGTTTAAATACAATTATCAGTTTTGGCGTATTTGGTAAAGAGATGATTCATGAGATTTTAGCTTATTGAAAGCAAACATTTTGTTTATAGGGGTTTGGCATTATTAAGATAAGTCAATTTTGGTGTTTTGAAAATAGATGATTTAAAGAGCTTATTTTAGTTCAATAAGCTAATGTTTGCAAAGGTTGCTCAATCAAGCTTTTTGTAAGAGTTGGTCTTACAATAAACTATTTTGGTATTTGGTAAAATAGATGATTTTAAGAATTAGCCAAGCTAGTTAATATAATTAGTTATATCAACAAGCTGATTGTTTAGTAATTAGTTGGCAACTTATTGATATAAACTAATTAGTAATGACCAAACATAAGTCTGAAACCAAAGAGTTTGACTAAGGGCCTATTCTGATTTATTGAATTGTTTATGAGAGAAGATAATTAGGAACTGAACTAAAATTAAGCTGAAGAGAACAAGCCCTTAAACTGGACTTATTTACTAATCACTTTGTTAGTGGTAGATTTTGTGTGGTATATACTATAGTCTTGGTTTGATAATTGCCCCAATTACAATTATTATGTTTCACAAGAATTTTGTTTCGTAATAACCTTGCTCTAATTGAAATAACTTAAGTGACGCAGTTAATTAGGTTTCATCCTCTCTACCTCTTATAATTTACTTTGCATTTGCTACTTGCGTAATATATTTGCATAACATTTTGCAATAATATGTAATAGACTTAAATAACGATACGAAGTTAGCTAACCAATTACTATACTCCGTACGTTATGTTTGAACAGAGTAAGAGTGGCAAATGAATTAGGAGCAGGCAATGGCAAAGCAGCAAAATTCGCGACAAAAGTGTCAGTTGCAACCTCCACAGTAATCGGACTAATCTTTTGCGTAATAATTATGGCACTCCATGATAGGTTTGCCATCATATTCTCAGACAGTGTTCCTGTTCTTGAAGAAGTTGATAAACTTTCATGGCTTTTGGCTGTTACCATTCTTTTAAACAGCGTTCAGCCTGTCCTTTCAGGTAACACCATCGGGTATTCAAAAATCGAGTTGCATTATCATACAGTGGATATTAACATAAAATCCATCTAATAGAATCTGTCGTATAACTATGTTACATTAGTGATTAGTCTATTACTATCAATTTGATGCTAATTAACAATAATGATCAAACGGTCCTAGCTAAAAGTAATAGACAGGATAACAAGAACAAAGGTTAAATTATCAATCACTTTTACTTTTATACAATTACAGCCTTTTAATAATATGCATGACCTGACGAAATTATAGCCATGGTTATAAAGATGGAACATTAGAACATGATAGGACTCATTTCCATTCTCTTTCTAAAGAAAAAAAAAAAAGTTTGCTAGATTATGACATGCTTACTTCTGTACAAAAGTGATAGTTCAAGAGATGCTTGTTAGATCGACTCTATTTTGTTACATGAGTGTGGTACAGATGTACTTATATTATTTAACACGTTTAATGACGTACAAATTAAAAGTAGATGACTTTAAGAAGTGTGTAATAGATAAAATTGATATAAACTAAATTCTATTTATTACTCCGTACAATTTATATATGGAACTAAAAGGAAAAGAAAAAAATGATGCACCTATATTATGAGAGTTGTACATGTATTGTAGATAGTTTTTGTTATTGACTACCTATATCAAATTAATAAAAACGACCCCAGAAGAAAAATCAAACATGTCGTAATAAGTTAAAGAATATCTGAAAATAAGTTATTATAAGTGCACTGTATATAATGAATTAATTAATAATGAGCTAATATGTTATTTCGAATATGTTTATGGGGATCCAGGGGTGGCAATTGGATCGGGATGGCAAGTCTATGTAGCATACATCAATATCGGGTGCTACTATGTTGTTGGACTTCCTCTTGGGGTTGTTATGGGATGGGTGTTCAACACTGGTGTTACGGTAACCATTTTCAACTAACTCAACTTTCTTAATTTATGATAATTTCCTAGCATTTTTTAGGAGTTTTTTTTCCTTATAATTTGTATGATTAATGCATATAATAGGGAATTTGGGCTGGTATGATCTTTGGTGGCACTGCTCTTCAGACAGTGATATTAGGCATAATCACAGTTTCATGCGATTGGGATAAAGAGGTACGCTTAATGTTTATCATTCGATATTGAATTGGGGTGAATGAGACTTTTATTTGAGGACGGAGAGAGTATTATATTCAGTATTTTGATTGGTCTATATTTGTATGTTGTTATGAGCAGGCACAAAAGGTAGTTGCTCATGTAGAGAGCTGGTCAAAGGAGCCTCAGTATAGAGTCAATCAAGCTGGAGTGGAATGAAATTTGATAAAATAAATTTGTGAATCCTATCAAATTTCAGACGTATGATTTGTGCTATAAAGGGCAGATGCTTAATGAAGGCGTTCATGTCAATCATCAGTATCGATGCTAATCATTGAGATCAATACATTGTTGTACTTAAACTACAAAGAATGAGGTTTTTTGCTGGTTTAATGAAAAATCAGGTTTTGTTGAAATATATGGCCAAATTTTGCATTCACAAGATCAGTGATTCAGTGCCCTATCAAAGGTTAAGAAAATTTGTTACTCCGTATTACGAGTAGATTCGGATCAATTATAGACAATATAACAATATTATCTACATTCTCATGAATCATGTACAAATAGCTAGTTGCATCATTTTGATTTTTTGCACTATTTTCATAAATTAATATTATTCAACTCATTTGCAATGCTTAAATAAAGTAAATAATTATATATGTAGCAAAAGTTATGTGCAAATTAACTAATAATCGTTCAGATCTAATTAAAAAAACCCTAGCCTCCTCTCTCTCTTCTCTCTCCTAAACTTTAGCCTCCATTGTCAAATTTGAAGGGGCTTCCATCGGATTTCACCGGTGGAAAGCCCCAAATTTTATTTTCTTTTAAGTTTTTTAATTTGTTCTAGGTTACAATAATGTCTCCCTCGAAAGAAAGGGTTTATCTCTTTCGAAAGACAAGGTTTTTTCGATTTCATTCGAAAGACAAGGTTTTTCGGACTCCTTCGAAAGACAAGGTTTTATTTGTGTTTAATTTGGTCTCTGGTTGTGCGGGACTACTATTGATTATGGCTCGGATTCGGGTTAAGGAATCAACACAAGAATTTTCTTTCTCACAAAATTGCGAAGCGGCGACGGATCCACTCAAAAAGTTGTATGAGACAACGAACCGAGAATGTGCCGAATTGTTATATTTATGTATTTGGATTCTTAGCCCTTCCCCGATTAATTCTTGTTTGATTTTGCTAAATTCGTTTTCATTATCGTTAATTGTCAATTGTAGATGCCGTATGGCTATTATTAATGAAATTTAATGTCCTTTAGGACTTCTTTCAAAAAAAAAAAAAAAAAGAGTTATGTGCAAATTATGTATCGTAATTATGTATTAGCATCTTGAATCTTGATGGCTTTACTTGTCAATTCCCATGGAAATAGGTACGGGCCAAGCAAGTAAGGCAACAAAGATTTACTTAGTAGTATATTTTATGGCCCATCCCATTCAAATTGGGCCAAAATTATTGTATGCATTCTTGTCATAATCATAGATTCATGTATCCGAAAGCTAAGTCATAGTGAAACCACTTAGGCCCCGTTCTTTAGAGCAGAGCTGCTCTGCTTTGCTTTGCTTTGCTTTGCTCTGCTCTGCTGAGCTCTGCTCTGCTCAAATCGAATCTGTTCTGCTCTGCTCTGTTCAAAAGAAATCTGCTCTGCTCTGCTCTATTTTCAAATAATAATTACTAATAATAATTAATATTCAATAATAATAATTATTTCAATATTCTACTTTTAATTTCAATCAATATTAATATTTTATTATTATTTTTATGATTAATATTATTGTTGGTATTATTATTATTATTATTATTATTATTATTAATTTTTGTTATTATTATTATTAATTATTTTGATTATAAATTATTAATTATTATTATTATTATTATTATTTATTTATTATTATTATTATTGTTGTTGTTGTTGTTGTTGTTGTTGTTGTTAGGAAAATTATTATTATTCCCTACAAATATTTTAAAAGAAACCTAGAAGTATTAAAATTATCATATAGTAGAAGGTAATGAACTTGTAATATTTTATAATTTTATTATTTATAATATCCCACATCATAAATGAATTTGTTTATAAGAAAGTATTAAAATGGGGATCCTAAGAAAACTAAATTACATATTACAGTTATCATAGTTTTTTGTTATATAGAAAAAAGAGATTTGACTTGTCTTTGTTATAGGGAAGTTTACAAATTTTGTGATAACGTAAATTGGTTGACTAAATTGAAATGAAAATTATCATTTCATATTTCATATTTCAATATTCCAAACTACTATGGGTAACACCTCTATGTTCCTATATAAAACAACATCTTACTGTCATAATAATAACAACAACAACAACAACAACAACAACAACATTGATAATAATAATAATAATAATAATAATAATAATAATAATAATAATAATAACATTATCAGTAGTAGTAGTAGTAATAATAATAATAATAATAATAATAATAATAATAATAATAATAATAACATTATCAATAGTAGTAGTAGTAATAATAATAATAATAATAATAATAATAATAATAATAATAATAATAATAATAATAATAATAATAATAATAATAATAATAATAATAATCAATGTGAGCCTGACCGCTGCTATTCGTTCTTGGTGTGAGCCTGGTGGTTCTGTGCATCTTGTGCGAGATACGTTGGCAGATGTGTCTCCTCCTTTGTTGGAAGCTGATGATGAGCATGATTTGTCTGAGCGAAATATTAAGCAATGTAAGAGAAAGATTTGTGACGGACATTACACTGCTGCGGTTCGGGTTCTTTTGTCTTCTGGTCTTGCCCCTTACAATGATGCTACTCTTGCTGATTTACAAGCTAAGCACCCTTCCTTTCCGGCTCCTATCTTACCGGATATCCCCGTTGATCAGCCCCTTATTGCTACATCTGCTGTTGTTTTGGATCAAATTAGGGGTTTTCCGCGTGGTACGTCATGCGGTAGAGACGGCTTGCGTGCTCAGCACCTTCTGGATTGCTTGAGTGGTGCTGCGGTTGTTATTTCAGATGAGTTGGTGGGCTCTATTACGCAGGTGGTTAATCTCTTTCTCGCAGGAAATTGTCCTGCTGAGTTGGGGGAGTATATTGCTAGTGCTCCTCTCACGCCTCTTGTTAAGCCTGGTGGTGGTATTTGTCCTATTGCTGTGGGTACTGTTTGGCGGCGTCTGGTTTCAAAGGTTGGGGCTGCTTTAGTTGGTCCGCGTATGGGGAACTATTTAGGAGGTCTTCAGTTTGGTGTTGGGGTGCCGGCGGGTGGCGAGGCTATTCTTCATGCTGTTAATCGTTTGGTTGAGGCTCGAGGTGGTGATGTTGGCCTCTATATGTTGCTGGTGGATTTCCGGAATGCCTTTAATTTGGTTGATCGTACGGCTTTACTGCGTGAGGTTCGTCTCCGTTGTCCAGCTCTTTCGCGTTGGGTTGAATTCTGTTACTCTACTCCAGCCAGGCTCTATTATGGGGAGCATACCTTAAGGTCATGTCAAGGTGTGCAGCAGGGTGATCCACTTGGCCCTTTGCTTTTTGCTTTGGTGCTCCATCCGTTGGTTTGTCAAATTAGGGATTCTTTTGACTTATGTTTGCAGGCTTGGTATTTGGATGATGGCACTATTATTGGTGACACCTTTGTGGTAGGGAAGGTTATGGAGTTGATTTTGGTGGAGGGACCTCGTCTCGGTCTCCATGTTAACGTTGAGAAAACGGAAGTTTTCTGGCCCACGGAGGACCCTCGTAGCCGTCTGGCCGGTGTCTTTCCTCCAGATATTGCTCGTCCTGCTCATGGTGTTAAGTTGCTTGGGGGTCATGTCAGTGCGGATGCCTCTTTCTGTGGTGAGCTTGTTTCGCAGAGGGTGTCGAAGACCATTCTGCGCATGGATGCTGTTGCTAAGCTTGAGGATCCCCAATGTGAGTTATTACTTCTTCGTGCGTGTACTAGCGTTTCAAAACTCTACTTTTCTATGCGCACTTGTCCTCCTCGTCTTTTTGAAGCGGCCCAGATTTCTTTTGAGGTGGCCCTTCGAGGTTCTGTGGAGCACATTGTAACTGCTTCGGGGTCAGGTTTTGGTGATTGGCGATGGCGACTTGCCACCTTACCTTTTTCTTATAGAGGACTGGGTGTCTATTCAGCGGGTGATGTTCGACACTATGCTTTCCTTGCGTCGCGTTTGCAGTCTTCTGGTCTACAGGCTTCGCTTCTTCGCAATTCTGGTATTGTTGGTCCAGGTCCGGCCTTCGACGACGCTCTTAGTCTTTTTAATAGGACTGTGGAGACTGACCTTTTGCGTTACCCTGGTGAGATCGCTGCCCCAAACTCATGAAGAAATTGGCAGATATATATTTCACGAAGGTCACTGCATCTGCAGAATCCACTTTCTCCTTGTCTCCGCGTCAGGTTGCCTTATGGAAGTCCCAGCAGGGGGATTACTCTTCTGCCTGGTTGCGAGCGGTCCTGATATCAGGTCTGGGTCAGACTATGAATGGTAAGACTTACCGTTGTGTTCTTTGCTACCGGTTGGGTGTTCCCTTGTTCTCCGTATCGGCACCTTGTTCTGCTTGCTCAAGAGTTTTTGATGGGGATATTTATGGGGATCATGCAGTGTCTTGTGCTGGGATGGTGGGTATTAAACATCGGCATAACGTTGTTCGTGATACCCTTGTTGATATTTGTTTCCGCTCTGGGATTTCTGCAAGGAAGGAGGTCAACGTTGGGTTAACTGGAGGGAACGACGGGGCTCTTCGGCCAGCAGATGTGTTGCTTTACTCCTGGGATAGAGGCCTAGATGTATGTGTTGACTTGACGGGGTCTTCTCCATTGACTCAATCTGGGTTGTCTGACTTCGTTCTTGGTCGTCTTATGTCGGCTGCGGCTCAGCGGAAGCGAGACAAGTATGGGGCGCGTTGTAGGGCTATTGGCTATGGTTTTCTTCCTTTCTCCTTTTCTTCATTGGGGGAATTAGAGAAGGATGTCGTTGCGTTGCTGAAGCGGGTTCAGGCGTTCGCTAGGACTCAGGATATTGGAGCTCGTGCGGCTGCTCACATCTTTAACAGGATTGGGTTCGCTATAGCTAGAGGGGTGGGGGCCGAGATTGTATCTCGGCTCCCCACTAATTTCTTGTAAATCTTTTGACTTTGTAGGTTTTTGTTATTTAAAAAAAAAAATAAATAATAATAATAATAAAAAAAAAACATTAATAATAGTATTAATAATAACACCATTAATAATAGTATTAATAATAATGTTGAAATCTGCTCTGCTCAGCTCGGCTCGGCTCTGCTCTGCTCAAAAGAAATCTGCTCTGCTCTGCTCGGCTCGGCTAAAATTTAATCTGCTCTGTCCAGAAGCTCAAAAGAACAGGGCCTAACTCGTATTATTGTTCTCTTCAAATGAAATAAAATGTTAATATGACCTTTCTTTTTATTTATTTATTTATATATAAGCTGACTGATTTTTTTTTTATTATTATTATGTTTTATTTCTAATAAAATACTCCCCCTATCCTTATAATATTTTTGTACTAGGCTTTAGCACATATTAAGGAAATTAGTAGGGTGTACTGAGAATGAG